AGAAGAAGAAGAAGAAGAAATGAGAGAATAGCGAAATAGGAAAGAGAGAACCAAAAAGCAAGAAATGAGAAAAATAAGGAAATGCAGAACATAGTACACAAGAGGGGTCTCGGAGCGTTGACTGTGGACATAAAGTTGGATCCGAGTGTTTTCTAGTAGTAGACTGGTATTTAGAACGAACTCGCCTATGAAGTGACCTAAGATTGTCCAAGGCGGCTGAGAATGATGTGAGCTAAGACTGTGCTCGGGGGAACAGACTGTGCTCGGGGGAACAGTGCAAGCCTAGCTGCGCGCTTGTCACCTCCCAGTATCAGCTTATTCAATCTGTTGTCCAGGAAAGATGCATGTGTATGCATCCCCTCACGTCAGGTATCAGGTACGCTAAACCACATTTCACTTCACAAGTGAGTCAAGCGGTAGGCTCCATGGCCTGCCTCCGTGGCTCATTCCTCCAGCCGAACGTGCCGCCTGGATGATTGGTTGGTTGGGCAGCCTCAAAATTAGCCACTTATGAGTCTAGACCAAGAGCTCAATCGTGCTGGGAACTGCATTATCTCTTCCCACCAGACCATAGCCGGATGCCAGAGACCGGTGCTGTGGAATCGGATCGAAGTATACATTTTCAAAGGTACGCCATACCGTGCCTTGCAATCTCCCGGATGCGGAGCAAATGCACACCAACACATACGTGGGCGTGTCCTTGTACTTTTTGCCACCTTTTTTTTGCCACCTTTTTTTTTCTTCTGTTCTTTTTCTCCTCTGCTGGAGGAGAAAAGTGGAGGGAGAACCTGCCTATACGTCTAATCTCATGTAAACATCGATGTCCTGACCAAGACCTACAGTTGAAATTCTACGGCTAGGGCGAGCCCCCGGAACTCTCCCCGGCCCCGGGTACCTTTTTCCCTTTCAAGACAGCTTGGGTGATTGATGAGCACGTTCCTCTGAGAGGGGCGAGAACACATAATGCTTATTGTTAGCAAAACTTTCTGCGAGTCAGTGTTCGTTGCCCTTAGAGCCGAGCCACTCGTAAGGTTACGAAGCACTAGCTTCGCCAACTAGAATAAAACTCGATCTGCAGTACTGTACTTGGATCGAGAACAGGCTCGAACCCACCTCGCGAGCTGGAGTAAATCGATAACCCATACTAGGAGATTGCGACTAGACAACGCCTGATGACAGCCTGTGTCCGTGGCATGTGGAGCGTTTATCAGTTCTTGGTCGTGATCTATATCAGTTACAACAAGCTAGGGACTTGTCGGCTGCGTGCCCATAAGAACTGTGCTGGTCACGTTTGCGGTCGCGTCGGCCGTAAGGTAGGCGAGATGGTGGGCTAAACCAGCAGCATACCGGCAGTACTCGATAATCACATCATTTTCTTTCTTTATCATATTTCTTTCTTTTCCTTCTTCTTCTTTTTTTTTTTTTTTTTTGCTCTTTTTTTTGGGAAAAATGTCTAGAAGTGTATCTCAGCAGCTTTAAGAGCTTGCGGGCCGGCATCCGCGGTTGGCCTTAATTCCCTCCCCCTTCACAACTGCTTTGTCCTAGAATAAATCGACGCTTTGAATTAGCCGGCCGGTGAAAGAACACTGGTTGGTCAAAAAAGCAAAAACATACAACAGCATAAGTATGTTGGTAGATACCGAGTAGCTGCAGGGGTCTGGTGCCGCCTTGTTCAGGCCTTTTCTAAGTTTGGTGTCTTAGTCCGTACTTTGACAGCTGAGTTTGTCAATTAAATAAGAAAAGGTAAACTTAAGATGTACACTTCAAGAAACAGCCATAGGAATCAGACGAAGAGATCCGGAATATATCCTCCCAAGAGTTCAGATGTCTATTGCCTGGTAGCGTTATACACAGTATTGATACAATATTATAGGTAGATGAATAATTGTGTGATCCTCTGCTCCTGCAACCCACCTCAAAGAATTGATGGGTGAAGAAGAAGCACATACGTCTGCAACGACTGGCTCCCTGCTCATAGAGCAACTAATAGAGTTCATGTGCAGCCACCTCCAGCAGGTTGTCCGCCCCCAGAGCAGTCTGCGTGTAACGGGCATTGAACTTCAGGATCTGCTTGACCTTGTTGTAGCTCTGAACGTTGAGGGGAAGGGGCTCAGTACTGAGGTACCAGGCAACTCCCTCGCTGCAAGGGGGGGGGGGTGAGGGAGCCGTCATATTGGTAGATCCCGTGGCTGTCGAGGTGCGCAGTCAGCCCAGCGAAGTCCAGAGGGCCGGTTTCTGTAAAGGTGCCCGGGGTGGCGATGTCATCGATGTGGGCGAAGACGGCGTCGAAGAGGGGGAAGGAAACACCTGTCTCGGAGAGCTGGAAGAGGAACCCGACAACGGCGATGTTGCTCTCTGTACAGTGTAAGTTTGGATGATTAAGGTTTATTGGGGAAAGGGGAACTTATACCGGAGTCCTCGAAGACGAAGTGGCTCTCCAAGGGGAAATACTCCTCATTGATGCGGTGCTCGCTCGGGGTGTGGAAGTGGAACTGAGCCAACTTGTATTGGGTAGAATTTCCCACAGAGAGAGTGCCGTTGGTCAACACGACCTCCAGACCGGATCCCAGGTTCTCAAACTTGGCTGCTGTAGTGGCTGGGATGTTGAACCTGAGGCTACCAGTGGGCACATAGTCAATCTCCGCGGTGACGATGTCGATGGGAGATTGGTGCTTGCCCTGGGAACAGGCGGCGTTGGTCTCGTTGTTCAAACCATACCAGGTCAAGGGCCCCCCCAGGTTGGTGTAGTTGTAGGAGTTGATGGCCACCAGCCATCGGCAGCGCGGGGGAGAAGGGAAGTACCCCGAATGCAGGAGGCACCGACAGTTGCCGCCAGAGGAAGAAGGTTCGAGAGCTTCATAGTGACTATTCTGCGAGTTCTGCGCTTGAGTGACGAGGACTCACTCGCATGCTCTGGGATCCTCTGAGCCTTTTATCGCCTGGCAGCGCCGCCCCACAAAAATCCCCCTTTCGTGCTCGGGGAAATACACGAAGATCGCGATTCATGCTCGTCTCGGATTTCCCAAGTCAAGATCGATGCAGATCGCCCAGGTCCCTCTGTAATGGGTCGTGTCTACCGTCGAGATTTGTCCATAGGTAGATATGGGTTGCGGACGGGCTGGTGTATCTCCACTTACACGAGGGCATGTTCATCCAAGTAGATGATCGACCATGAGGGTTGCAAAAAGCAGATATAGGTTGCGGGTCACTTAAGATTGTGCAAATCGTCAACTTGACTAATGTATACCGCCGAGGAAGTTGTTTTCCGGACGATGGCTGCGCTAAATCTCCGGCTCTCGTTGATTTATTAGCTTACCGAGCCGACGGAGCCCGAAAGCTTCGAGATTCTTTTAGCGCTCTCGGGTTCCGCACGAGGGAGTGATTGCTTATTTGCCATTTCGGTAACACTCCATGCAGATCATTTTCATCCAACAGTTTGGTTGAAGAGAAAGCCCACCAAATAAGCGAGTGCTTCGCAGTGGGTTCCCCTCAGGAACCAATTCTGCCTGCCTTCTTCACGTGAGCCAGGTAGGGTTCGAACCGGCAATTTTAGCGCGTACTTTGGGGAAATGAATGTCTTTCGACGTGCCAAGCTGGCAGTCCTTTGAGGCTGAGAGGGATCCTCTTTGGGGTTTGACCGTATAGCCCTGGTATATATTGACGAGGAATAACTGACACTTCATGAGAACAGTGGTTGAGAACGGATCTGAGAAGCGAAGATGCAGATCTTCCGGTCGACGTTGGCGTCACATCTGTACTGAATATCCTCGACAAAATTGGTCGCGATGGGAATGGTCGCTTTCTCAATATTCATATGCCCGGGTGGGAGAATGCGCCGGGAATGAATCAGTATGACGGAAAGGAAGTACCGTGGTAGATCCTCTTCGCCAACATAGGAAACACCTGGGAATGGATACTACTTCGACAAGGGAAGCGGAGAAGCTTAGCTGATGTGTTCTAGAGTGACAGTATCATATCAGGGAATATCACGTAGGCACTAAAGCCGGTTTCTCTAGTGTACAGTCTCAATGCAATTAAACAGTTGCGAAAAACCTATTGTTCGCCTGCAACACGCATCGCCTGTGACCCTTGACATCTGTAGTTTTCATGAACCCCGCCAACGTAAACACCGTGTTTTATAGGCTAAGAAGCATCATTGTCACTAATCATAGTCAAGCCGCGCGCGGATTGGGTGTTCTCAACAAGGGCCTCGGCCCGCGCGGATGGTAAGCACCTGGTACATATTCTTATTTCAGATTATGAAACTGTTACCTATGGGGGCTCTTATGATCAAAAGTATGTCAATCTACAACTACCTTGATCCGCTGATTCAGCCGGTTAATGAAGGTGGTGGTAGTATATCTATTGGAGGACTTCCGATCGTCCACGATGGAGGACGGATGGCAGCCGGTAACCATCCATCTTGCGCAAGGTACCTGATCGAAATTTGTATCAAAGTGATCCAGGGCTGTAGCGCCTGTCAAGCTGAAACCTAGGCCGGTCATACCCCGAATTGTTTCGGGGAGCGAATGTTCCGAGAAGCTAGGACCTAATGTGAGAGAAGAATTTGACAGAAAAACTTGAGCCTTGAGATTGTCTTTCACAGAGACATTGGGTGCAGAGAAATAGAGGTCTAGCCATTAGTCATATTAGTTAATGTCTCGCTGATTCTGAGGATTATCCTTGATATATTTTCGAACTTCGGCTTTTTTGCGATCCTTTTCTCAAAATTACGACAAGCTCAGCCGATTTTCTTGAAAGCTCACAGTCCGATTGCGCGGTTAGCGGCCAACCTTGACGCCAACCGATTATGATGTTTTCGAATCCCTGCAACTCTCCACCGTTCTAACAAAATCACTGCTCGCTTGGCTTGTTACGTAGCTGATGCCTGAGGCTATCTATATAGATTTCTCTTCGCAGATAGCCGCGAAGATTAGAAGGGCTGGTTGAGCCCTCATATTTATGAATCAATATTTTTGAATAAATTAATCAATAGTGTAATAGTAAGATGAAAAGCAGTAATCAGCGCCGCAGATGGCCGTATAAAATATTGATAATCATATATACAGCAGAATTCAAAGGATCCAAATCCCTGCTCCTCCCCACCATATGAGAAAAATCACCAGGGTCAACCGGAGTACACCGGAAATAGCCGGGGGGCTTTGTCGGGATACCGCATTTGGAAACCTTCCCGCCATCCGGTCAGGGTAGACGGAAGGATATTGAATCATATTACAGACAGTCGAGTATAAAGCAGTTCGAGTTGACCTGACATCGGAATGTTATTTCTATTCCAAGTTTCACTGCAGACCGCTGTGCGAGCTAATAATTCCTCACAAGGCTGAAGACAAATCTGCACCCATATCCGCATTCACATCCGCACTATCCGAAAATCAATTCTCTACCGGCCAACCGACAATGAAGCAGTGGTTTCTCGACGGAACTCACAGGGTTGATTCCCTGTAGCTCCAAGAGGTTCCGATCCCCGAGCCCAGTGAATATGAGGTTCTAGTAAAGTTCCACGCTGCTTCACTCAACTTCAGAGACGTTATGATTGCAAATGTAAGCTCGCAGGATTCTCCCAATACGCTGGACTGGATATACCGGGAATCGAAGCTATCTAACATCGCAATACAGGGACAATACTATATCAAAACCAAGGATGGAGTGATTCCAGGGTTAGTACTATAGCTTTGTGAGGCTATATCTTTGATTATGGGTCACTGACTAGATAGCAACAAAGATCCGATGCTGCGGGTGAAATCGTCAAAGTTGGTACCAAGGTGACCAGATTTTCTGCGGGCCAACGGGTTTCACCCATCTTTCATTTGACACACCTGTATGGCTCTGTGAATGATGCCGACATAAACCACCAGCTGGGCGGCACCCACGACGGGGTGTTTTGCGAGTACGGTGTGTTCAACGAGCATGGTTGCGTGCAAATCCCATCAACCTTATCTTATCGCGAAGCTGCCACTCTTCCTTGTGCTGCCCTTACAGCCTGGAACGCCCTTTATGGGGGTCCGAGACAGTTGAAGCCCGGGGATGTGGTTCTGACGCAAGGCAGCGGTGGTGTTAGCATATTTGCGCTCCAGTTCGCGAAGCTCGGGGGCGCACAAGTAATCTCGACAACCAGCAGTAGGGAAAAGGGTGCCAAGCTGCGAGATCTGGGCGCAGACCTCATCATAAATTATGCCGAGGATAGCGAATGGGGCGAGACGGCCAAAAGTCTCTCGCACCGCAAGCGAGGGGTGGATTTTGTGGTCGAGGTTGCCAATACTATGGCTCAATCTTCCCAGGCTGTCGCTAACGACGGGTGCATTGCGACTATTGGAAGAAGAGGAGGCTCGGAAGGAGGGGCTGGATCTTCTCACAGCTCGATGCTAGCAACTGTGAGAAGGATTTTGGTGGGCAACAGGCAGCTTCAGGAGGATATGAATGCTGCTATTGAAGTCAGCAATCTCAAACCGCAAATTGATGGCCGTTCATTCCACTTCCGCGAACTCAAGGAAGCATTTGATTACTTCCAGAAGGGAACCCACTTCGGGAAGGTGGTTGTGGACTTTGACTAAAGACCTTGAGGATCTTTACTATAGGTATAATGGGTTTCCACTGCGGGAACCCAGGAAACGAGGCGGCGGCCTAGCCGGCTCAGAGTATATCAATCAAACCTGTACTTGTGACCGAAGACTTTGGGTAAGCCATACGTCACGCTGAGGAGTTTAGCCTATACACCGCATTGCTAGATAGATATATTTGACCCCTATGCTTGTCAGGGATCCTCTTGTCTCTTTGAAGCATTGGCATTTGGAAATCGATTGGCCTCTTTGAGGATGGCCTGATGCTGGCTCCGACGAGCTGAAAGCTTCCCAGACTTAAGATCCCGTGCCGGAGCTCGCCAATAAGGCCAAGACTTTCCAACCAGTGCAGGAGATGTCGCTTGGCGAAATCTGATACTTGGTTATCCCATGCTTTGGCCTTTCCGGGTGTATTGAATGAAGAAAATGGTCTAACCAATATGTGCAACTGTATCGCAAGTCAAACAGCGGGTCAGGCTGCGGTCGAAGAGTTGCTATCTCAGAGATTGGAGCTTCTGGATCATTAATGCTGTAAGACTCTAGAAGTCTGTATCTTCCCCGAACTCTTATGTTCGATCGGCCAAGATTAGAAGGCTATAAAACTCATGCATCTTGGATATTTTGATAGCATGATATTCCTACTTCAAAAAAGAAATTCCGAAGTTCACGTCCGCATGCACTGATAACTGAGATATTTCATGTGATAAATCAGGTAAATGAGAATGCATCTTCGACTATCATATGTAACTTAGAATGGTTGTTCGTAGTCGTCGCAATCGTCGTCGTCCCTGTTGTTATCGTCGTCGCTATCGTCGCTGTCGTCATCGTCGGAATAAACCCCACCATTCTGAATCTTTCGCTTTTCTCTCTCTAGCCATTCGTTTGGATATCTCATCCGATATTCCTCCGGAGATTCCTTTCGAAGCTTCCTCTGTTCTCTTTGTTCAGCTTCCTCCGGATACATCTGTCGATATGATTCTGGACTATTCTTTCGAATGTCTCTCTTTAGAGCTTCTTGTGGAAAAAGCCTTCGATATGACTCTGGATCTTTCTTTCGAAGCTCCTTTCGGTCTTTCAACTCTTCATTCTCCTCCTCTCGGGCCTTCCTTGCCTGTTCCTGTTTAGCCTTACGTCTCCTCGCCTGTTCCTCTTCGGCTGCTTTGATAAGAGCTGTATAATAGTCCTTCTCCTCCCCAGTAACCTCATAGCCATTCCACCATTCGGCGTATTCACGCAGGTTATCATAGGAACAGTATGCATCATTCCAAAAGGGTCTAAGCACCATGAACCTGGCTTCTGACTCGCGCGACTTTACATCAATTCCTGACGGCCAAAAATGGTTTTCCCGACTGGGGTTGGGATTCTTGGGGGGATGATCCTCGAGATAACCCGAGTAATATCCTTCGGTTTTCAGGAAGAACATATCATGATTTTGATTGATAGCTAGACACCAGCCCGTGAGCTTATCGCCACTTTCGCCGGAGGGCGCAATTGCATTCCCTAAGCCAAGTCAGCTTTGTGCTATATTCTATGGTTAATTGCCCACTTACAAAGGTAGTAAATTCCATCGCCAAGGGGTCCAAGTTCCTTGCGAAGCGCCTCAAGGTTTGCCTCCCCCATTTGATAATTGGCCGTCATTTTGAGGGATGTATAAGCTTGTGTAGATGAAGAGATAAGTTAAGGCTGGGAGGAGTGCTTTGTATAACTTTGAGAGTATACGGAAAGGAAGGTTTATGCAAGTGTAGAAGGGGTTAAGGCCTCATTACTTATATTCTGTTTCAAGTTCAGCCTGAGGTATTATGCCCCGCTTCCTACAGTGCCAACGTCATAACAAAAAGTTTTCAGAGGGGCGAAGATGCTTGCAGCTGAACTCTCGATAAACGCCAGTTCCCCCCACGATCAGCGGTGGGGGAGAGAGTGATGATCAGAAGCTACTTCTCGATGGTGGTCCAAATACGTCGGTAGTTATTGGCAAAACCTTTGGTCAAAACTGCGCTGGGTATGATGATCCACTAAAACGACAATGGAAGTGTCATCAGCTCTCCTGATGATGGTGGGCAATCTTTCGTTGTGGAACCTTTTCTAGCTTCTTCTCTAAGAAAAGCTACTAGAAGGTTCTTGGGGCACCCTCCTGTCCTTCTGATTGCCATGATCGTTGATGCGTGATATTTGAAATTCTATTGGATGACAATATTATCAGCACTCTATCGATACCCTGGACGGCGAACGAATAACAAATTGAGCTGAACGTTCCGCTACTGATCAGCATCTTCAGATGAGAAACGCGGAGCATCCCAACAACTCGCTTGCATCCATAAGTAAGCTCATAAGAGGTAATTGTGGACTAGTACCTGGCGATTTCCAGTTGAAGATTAGGTGCGAAGTGAGCAGGCTCTCAAATAGCCCATCTTATTTATAAATACCACCCAGGGCAGATCCAACCTACTAAATTAGCGCCGAGGCTGAATCGCCGACGCCCAGCTAAGCGAACTAAAACTCCACCCCTACTCAGCTGCTCGTCTATTTCCAGTACTTGGATAAGCAGATCTTTCCAATATTACGTAACTGCAGTCGATCGCAAAGCTTCAGTCAGCCATAAAATCGCTGCCTGAAGTGGGTTGTGAGTATTCGTATCAATAATTACTGACGTGGCATTTTTTATTCTGTTAAATATATAATTTTATTTATTAGTCTATTTTTATTTTATTTCTATTAACTTATAGAGAGGGCTCGCGATTTCTGTATATTTCTAAATATAATCCTGTAGAATATTTATTATATCTAGAAAGAAATAAAGCTAAGTTATATTACTTAATATCAGCTAGTTTCTTATTATTCTGTTTTAATATACCGGAGTATATTTACTATTTTTATAAATAAAACTATAATAAGTTATCTTTTTTGTTTTTTTAATTATTTTTTTTTATTAATTTCTAGTTCAGCCTGTTGTAAAACTTACTTAATATTATTATATAATCTTTTTAATTTTTTATATAATATGATATAAACTAATATATTATTTAAATATATTATTATATTTCTTCTGAGATATATTTGTATTATATACTCGATATATATCTGAAAGTAGACTAGTATGTTGATAAGTCTGAAAGGCATTTGTGTATATTCAAAAGTTCCGAGGTTGCACCGGAATGTTGTTTTCCATATGTCTTTTGGTAATACCCGTATGTGGTAGTAAGCCTCTTTGATGTCGTATTTCGCATACCATCCATGTCGTAAAATTCGGTTTCTGAAAGCTGGGCCTGGTGGCGGTGCATGTACAACCTTCTTGGTTTTCGTGTTGACTGGTCTAAAATCGATACACATTCGTAATTTATCCGTGTTCTTCTTTGGTACCCAGATGATTCCACATGATAATTTGGCTGTGCTTGGTCGTATGTAACCTCGTCTGAGGTTCTGTTCCACGTAGTCGAATAACTGTTGTTCTTCTTTCGGCGTAAGTGCTCTGACTGAGGCGTTATGGCGTAACTCGCCCCATGTATCTATCTCACAAAGCATACTGAGGGAGGAGGGTCAAAGATGCCCGGGAAACACCATTGTTATTGACCCTGAGGTCCTAAATCTGCTGCGTCCTCCCCCCCCTTACATACCCTTCTGTTCCTTCTTCGGTTAATGATCGTCGGTTTCAATTCCGTTTCCAAGTTCTTGTGATCCGTTCTGACTCGTATGTGCGGGGCTACTTCCAATAGAGTGATCCATTTCTCGATGGCGTAAACAATAGCCAATAGTTCTCTGTCCATAGTGTCGTAATTCTTCTCAGCTGGTGTAAGTGCGCGGGATACTATTCCTGTGACCTTTCCGTTTTGAGACAACCATGCGCTGATCCCGAAAAGTGAGGCATCTGTTGTTAATATTACTGCCTGAAGTAGGTCGTGAGCATTCGTGTCGATAATTATTAATATAATATTTTTTATTTTATTAAATACACAATTTTATTTATTAGTCTATTTCTATTTTATCTTTATTAACTTATAGAAAGGACTCGCGATTTTTGTATATTTCTAAATATAATTCTATAGAATATTTATTATAAATAAAGCTAAATTATATTACTCGATATTAATTAGTTTTTTATTATTTTATTTTATTATACCAAAATACATCTACTATTTTTATAAATAAAACTATAATAAATTATTTTTCTTATTTCTCTAATTATTTTTTTTATTAATTTCTAACTTGGCCTAGAGTGGATTAACCTGACTGTTATACCTTAACCTTAACCTGGCCATAACCTGGCGGTCAGGTTAAAGTACAAAAAAATTTTAACTATACAGTTATAATTAGATTAAAATATAACTATTATTTTAACCATTTATATCTGCCGGTCAGAAAGGTTAGATATAGCAGGTAGATTAATAACTGCAGATTAATTAGTAATATATATATTTTTTTTATATAGATAATATATAAAGTATAATATACTTTTAATTATAGTATAATAATATTCTCTAGATTTAGCTTATCTGCTTAATATTATAGTATAGTTCTAATTCTTTTAACTTATCTACTTAATCTGTTTAATCTATTTAACTTGCTTAATCTACTTAATCTGCTTAATTTATTTAATCTATTTAACCTCTCCCCCCGTAGAGCTAAGAGGTATACTATATTTTAAAAAAGATTTTTATAAAATCTAGTATAAAAAAAATAATATCTAATATTAAATAAACTAATAAGATTATACTATTCTTTATACTATTCAGGACGGTAATTATAATAGCAGAGAAATTGAAAAAACCAGATCTCTATTTTTATTTAAATATATATAATATTTAAAAATTCAGATAAAATTAGCTTTTCTATTTCTAATAATAATTTATTTTTTAGATTATTTTTAAGATTATCTATATTCTTATTTTTACTAATATAGAAGATAATAATTATCTTATTTTTTTTTTATTTCTTAAATATAAAAATAATTAAATCCGGATTAAAATTATTAAAAATATTCTAGTACTTCTTACTAATAGTAAAATAATCGGTATATATCTAAAGTATTATTATTTTAATTATATTAGTATAAAGACGGCTCCAGTAATAGTAACAGATATTTTAAAAACTATTAAATAAATATTTAATACTAATATTATTAGTAGCAACCAAGAGAAAATCTTTAGTTATCTAATAAAAAATAGAAAACTAATTACGGCGGGACTTTTAGTAAGCAAAAATATTAGTATATTTTATAATATCTAAAATAGTATTAGTTTAATTAAAAATATTTTTATAAGCTATATATTTTTAATATCTAGATATATCTTAAATTTTTTAAATATTTCAGCTGCTGGTAAGAGTCTCCGATATTTAAAAATATTATAAAAACTTTATCCAGGCCTAATAATAATCCGGAGATAGTTAATAGTATATTAATAGCTGGATTCTAACTATAATAAAAATAGAATATCTTTTTAAAAATAGTTCTGTACTTATAATACCAGTTAGTATTATTATCTAGCCAGATATTTTTTTTAAACTTTTTAAACTTTAACATCGGATTCAGAATAGTTATAATTATATAAATATAGTCTTCTATTTAATAAATATAATAGTAGTATTTTCAGAGCTTTTAATATATATTCTGTAAGTTTTTAAAAATCTTTTTTTTTTAGAATACCCGCTTTCTTATCAGTCGGTTAATTAAATAATCTAAATAATTAAAAAAATTATTATAGATATTATAAATCTTATAAACAGTAGGCCTACTGTTCTTAGATAAATAGAATATAAAAAAAAAAAGTATAAAAACTTAAAAAAATATTCTATCTATTTTTACTTAGTTGTAGTAGAATAAAAATAATTAATATTATTATAATTATAGTACTAAACAAAACTTTCGATTACTTAATAAAAATTAAGTATCTGGTAAATTATAAGATAGATTAAGTTCCAGCGAGTTTTATAGTTAAGAAGAAGATAATAAACTAAGTCTAATTTAAATTATTAAATAAACTAGAATTTTTTATAATATTAAGAACTTGTATTTATAAATTATATAATCTTTTAAATCTATAATTAAGAATTAGTAAAATTAGCTATTACTAAAAAAAGATCTTTAGAACCCGTCTATAAAAAACTAATCTAAATAATTTTTATTATAAACAGTAAAGACTTTTTATATTAGTTTTTTATAAATAGCTTCTAAAATATATTTTTTTAAAAGTTTTTAAAATACTAGAAGAGACTTTAAGACTTCTATTATAAATCTTTTATATATATTTAATAGTACTATTTAAGATTTTAATCTGAAGTTTTTATAAAAAAATATTAACTATAAACTAGATTATATAAGCAAGACAGAATATATAATACTAGCTTTAAATAATTATTATAAGATCGGGATAGAATAAAGTATTATAAAACTAAATACTTTAATTAAGTTAAGTCCGAAGTTTAAATAAAATTATACTAAATATTAAACTATTATTATTAATATTATCAGTTATTATATCTAATAATTGATAAAATAGATTATATTTATATAAAACTAATAAAATAATTATAGCTAGATTCTTACTAGTATAAAATCTAGATACCGGTCGGAAGCCTAGTAAAACTTTATAATAATTTATATCTTTTATTAAAAAATATCTAGTTAAAATAAAAAATATTTTTTAATTAGAACTAGTCCAGCAGTTTACTATAATTAATATCTGTTTAGTATTTAAAAACTTTAATAACAGCTGTATATATATATTTCTTAATAATTCTAAGAAATATTTTTTAATCTGTATTTAATTAAAAGAACTTGGTTTTCGGCAGAAAGATAAAACTGCAAGATTAATTATCTGTTTAAATTAAATATACTTAATAGTTCAGAATAGTAAATAACAGACAATTATAAAGTATAGAACTTAATTCTAAAATTTCTATTTATTATAAACTGCAGAGGTCTAGAAAAAATAATAATTAAAAAAGATTTATTTTTAAAAAATAAATAAATATCTATAATAGCTCTTTATTTAGTATCTGGCTAATTATTTACTTGGATACTACTAATAGTATTTTTTTTTTATAATTCTTACGAAAATAATAGCTTATAGAACTAGTTTCTAAGTTTTTAATTCCCGGGTATTATAAGATATAAAGACATATAGTACAGTAGATATAAGAAATTCTATTAAAAAATAATATATTTTTTTAAAAACTGTTTTATATTATTAATATCTTTTTTCGATTAAAATAAAATAGTAGTTTTTAAACTTGTATACAGGTTTTAAAAAAAATTATTTTCTACTATTAATTTTAAAAAATAGAAAGTTTTTTTTTATAAATTAGATATAAAATAATCTTCCGATTCTTCGCAACGCGCGTAATCTGAAGATTTAAAAAAAAAAAAAAAATCTAATTTAAAAAACTTATCTTAATTAAAGTATTATTATAATTTATAAAAATCTAAGAAACAGAAGAAAAAAGTTTAATAATATTTTTTAAAAATAAATCAGATAACTGTAATTAACTTATAATTCTAAAACTACTTTGTAAATAATAGATACAGAAAAATAAAAGTAGAAAATTTTATAAAAATAGTTTATTTTATTTTAAGACGTGCTTTTATATAAATATAATCTATTATATTTTAAATATAGCTAAAGTATCTACCGTATTTTATTTATTTTAGAAGACCTAGCAAGCAGAAAATCATATTTTAAGCTTAAAGTTATAAAAATTAGATTAATTAGATGAGTCAGATCGTCCTTATATTAATAAAAAAAGTTTGAAAAAGACTTTTATAGAATCCTCTAAAAAATATAATATCTAATATTTAATTAAATAGTTGTTAAAAAGTACAGTTGTTAAAAAAAACTATATAAATAATATTATATAGGTATTATAGTACAGTTCTAATTCTTTTAACTTATTTATTTAATTTATTTAATTTATTTAATCTGCTTAATCTGTTTAATCTATTTAATCTATTCGATCTGTTTAACTTGCTTAATCTATTTAATCTACTTAATCTGTTTAACCTGCTTAATCTATTTAATTTATTTAATCTACTTAACCTACTAAATCTGCTGTTTCTAACCGCCTATTATATAACCCCGAACCTGCTTAAAAATCTTTTTATTTTTAAATCTTCTTATAGTTCTTTAAGCTACGTCTTGTTTATAAATCTAAAAATAATCTAACTAAATAACTAGTTAAAAATAAAAGAATAAGTTATTAAAATATTACTAATTTATTATTTATTCTATTATTCTGTTTGCTGTTATCTGTATCTGTTAGCCCGCAATTTAATAGCAGGTTTTTCTTTAAGTTTAATTTATAATACAGACAATTCAGCTTTTTTAAATAAAAAATAAAAATATAATAAACTATCTAAACTAAAGTAAAAAAAAGAATAATAAAATAAAAACAGTATATTTATTTTTAATAGTCTAACTAGTAATAAATATACA